CACTGGAGGAGCAGTAGGAATCCACATGGGAAAGAACAGGGATGTGACATGGGTCACAGCGAAAAAAAACAGGAAAAGCAAAGGGGAAAAAGAAAAAGAAAAGGAAAAGGAAAAGGAAAAAGAAAAAGCAAGGAGAAAAAGAAAAAGAAAAAGCAAGGAGAAGAGGAGGGATGGGGGAGAATGGGGATGGGTGAGGGTGTGTATGAGTCGGTGAGAAGATCAGCATTGTCTCAACCTTGCCACCAAGGACACAACACCCCCAGTTAGACTACAAGCTCCCTTTTTTATGGATTTGATACAGCCCGGGAGCCAGACTCGTGTCCCGGCAGGCCGGTTGTAGCAAAGTTATAATATCGTAAGAAAATCTCTAGGGTAAAGTCGATCACAGCTGCCGTTTTCTGGGACCAAGGCGCAGCCAGCATGCAAAGAACTGGTTTCCCCTGAAACACATCCTGGTCCTGGTACAGAACGGATTGATGGGGGACGGAGTGAAACGACCTCATTCCACAGTCCTTCCCAGTCCGAGACTATCCGTACCTCTGTAGGGATGAGAACAATAAGCCACAGACTTATGATTTATAAGTCCGCGGACTCCAATAACTTGGACTTTCTGTCCAACCAGAAAGATGGCAGATGCTGTGCCAAGCACTGTGGCAAAATCTTTACCCTAAAGTGAATTTTGCTCATTATAATGTCATTATAATACCAACACACACCTCCATCCTGAAGGCTACCTGCCTCGGAGGTTGACCATGCCCAGGACACTCCTCTCATGCACAATGGTGCCACCTGGCAGAGATGGAGACCGGAAAATTAGTTCTGGGAGAAGATGGGGATTCCTGAGGTAGAGGAGGAGCAAGGTGTGTAAACTCGGTATAAAAGGTCATCCCCTAGCGACCTGAAGTTGAAGCCTTCCCCACCAAGGATCGACGACGATCATTAGGACCAATGGGACACTGCTGGGGAGCAGGGGACGCCTTGGACCCGTGGTGGTGGCTATATTCCTCTTTTCCTCTCTGTACTTTACTTTCCATTCCCTTTATCTATCACCTGTTGCTTATGGGCACAAAATAATAAAGTTTTTATACTGTTTAACTGAAGCTAAAACCTTTGGCATGGTTGCCTTCATTTTGTACTTTGAGATCTCAGCAAAGAACCATCACGAGTCCTTAGGGGACCGTGACAGGGTGGCAGTGGGGAGAACTGTAGATACTTGGATGGCATGAAAAAGAAGAGAGAGAGAGCAGCAAAGAGAGGAGAGAAAACAAGAGAATGAGGGAAAGAAGAACAGAGAGAGAGGTGGAAGGAAGTGGAGCAGAGAAAGAGAAGGAGAGGAGAGACCAGAAAAGTCAGAAGAAGGGGAAAACACAGAGTGAAGAAAGTGGCTCAGGTTGAGGAAGGCACCAACCTCACTTTGCTGTGGGAAAAAGAGAAGTGAATTCATTGGGGGATTAATTGTATTTCTGGTGCAAGTTCATTGGAGTTTCACACCTTTGAAGCTCCCAGATGTCCGTGCCAGATACAGGGAGAGGTTTATTCCCTGCTCTGCAGAGGGCACAGCCCACTCCCCGTCTGGCAGAGCATCTCCTCATCCAGGAGACACAATTTCTCCAAGAAGGAAGGTTACCAGCCGGCATCGCATTTATTTAAGAGCAAAGTAGCGCACGTACAGCAAGCTGCAAAGATGCAGAGAAAAGCTTCCTGGTATTTGCACCGATGGGCCTCTGAAGGCCACCAATGCAGCTGTGCTTTTCCCAGCAGGAGGAAAAGCAGCTGCTCTAATTCAAGGGCAGGCAAGCAGGCACACACAGAGCCAGCGCTGATCTCCACGGCTCTTCATGCCTACCCACGTCGATGCCACGCAAGGAGACACCCCGGGGCACGAGCACAGAGGCAGGTGTGGATACAAAGGGGTGTTTCTCCATGAACAGCTCCAGGAAGCATCTCCTGAACAGGCTCCCACCTGCAAGGGAGGGAGGTGCTGAGCTCTTCTCCCTGGGATGCAGGGACAGGACGCCCGGGAATGGGTTAAAGCTGTGCCAGGGGGCATTTAGGCTTAAACCCTGGAACAGGCTCCTGGAGAGGGGGTTGATACCCTGAGGCTGGTGGTGTTTAAGAAGCATTTGGACAATGCCCTTAATAAGGTGCTTTAACTTTTCATCAGCCCTGAAGGGGCGAGGCAGCTGGACCAGACTGAGACTAAGAAGAAAACACTCAACAGCAAGGTTTTCTCC